ATTTCAAGTCCGGAATGGTAATGCCACCTGCCTTGTCTTTATTGCCCAGAATTGCCTTTGCTATTCTAGGTCTTTTCCAGTTCCAGATAAATTTTAGGAATAATGTCTCTATGTCTGGGAGATATGTCGGTGGTAGTCTCATAGGGATTGAATCGTTTTCTTTAAATTGGCTAGGGGGCCAGGGAGATGGCTCAGTAGAATAAGCGCTTCCCTGGCAAGCACGAGGGTCTGAATTCAATCCCCGGTTCCACCAAAAACCAAACAAACAAACTAAAATAAATTGGCTAATTCAGAAATAAACCTAGGTTGGCTGGGTATGATGGCGCATTCCTGTAATCCTGGCACTTGGGAGACCAAGGCAGAAGGATCACTATGAGTTTGAGGCCAGCCAGCCTAAGCTACATTGTGAGACCCTGTTTAAAAAAAAAGAAGAAGAAGGGGCTGGGGAGATGGCTCAGTGGAATAAGCACTTCCCTGGCAAGCGCAAGGGCCTGAGTTTAATCCCCGGCTCCACCAAAAAAAAAAAAAAAAGAGGTTCTGGGTTTCATCCACAGAGTGCAAGTAAATAAACAAAACAAAATAAAACAGAGCAAACATATTTTACAAAAGAAATGTTAAATTAGGCATAGTGGCTCATGTCTAGAATCCCAACACTAAGGAGGCTGAGGCAAGAAATGAGTTAAAAGGCCAGTCCGAACTGCCTAGCAAGACACTGTCTCAGAAACCAAACCAAGCCAAACCACACCAAGATAAAACAGAACAAAAAACGTTACTTTCTCACCTTGAAAGGAAGCCAGTATCACCTGCCATGATAGAAGATAACAGTAAAGAAGAACACAAAAATATGAACATTTAAAACTAGGACATTAAAAAATAAGGGTGCCAGGGAGATGGCTCAGTAGAATAAACACTTGCCTGGCAAGTGTAAGGGCCTGCATTCAATCCCCAGTTCTGAAAAATAAAATAAAATAAAATTTGGACATTACCTAAAATCATCTTTCTGCCCTTGTGACATATGTCTCTTTAGTAGTTTGATCATGCTATTCCAAGCAGTAGTGACAGCCA